AGCATCCATATTGATGATTAATTAAAAAGCCTACATAAGCATTTATATTTTGTAATTTTCTATGTAGTAAACTAAGTAAATAGAAATGCTTTCAGTATATGTATAAATTATACATGATTTATAACATAAATATTTTTTAAATATATTTTATTGATTTTTTACAGAGAGGAAGGAAGAGAGAGAGAAAGAAACATCGATGAGAGAGAGTCATCAATCAGCTGCCTCTTGCACACCCCCCACCGGGGATATGCCAGCAACCAAGGTACATGCCTTTTGACCAGAATCGAACCCAGGACCTTTCAGTCCGCAGGCCGGCGCTCTATCCACTGAGCCAAACCGGTTTCGGCTATAACGTATGTTTTTATTGCCTGTCTTTATTTCAAAGAAAAAAAACCATAACTTGATATTTAACTATAAGGCAAAATACAAATAATCATGTGTTTCACAATTGCAATTGTTACATAATGATATGTATGGTAAAATCTTTTCAGCTAGTGAAAATCATATATGGCAGTGGTTTATTATGCACTGAATTCTTATATAATTTAAAGAATCTTGATTGATTTAACTTCAGATTGCCACTAGACTAGAAACATTGAGTATTTAATGGTATAGCTATTGAGGAACTAAAAGTACAGATATTTTTGGATATCTATATCTATATCTATATATCTCTCTCTATATATAGATATATATATCTTAATTAAATTCATGACTATATTAATAAAAAAAACTGGGGACATTATTTTTGGTAAAGAATAATTATTCTTAATTATTGTCATAATTATTTGTAACAGGCTAGGAATAGTAATATCAGTTTCCAGATGAATTTTGTTGATAGTAAAAAAATAAAATTAGGCTTTGCCTTGTAGTCTTACTCAAAATACAAGTCAGTCATTCAACCAAGAAAAGCCAAGAAAGCAACATCATGTTAAAAATATCACAAAGTAGCAATGATTAAAAATATTAGGCTTAAATGAATATGTGCGAGATATCAAGCATAGCATGAATTTGAAGTAGCCAATGAAACTGTAAGGATAAATTATGTTTCTTTTAGATTGGCATATTGCCCTCTCTTTGCCTTGAGACCTTAATAGTGTGTGGGTTATCACTGCTTATATGTTTATTAAGCTTTATTTTAAATCAGGAGAATGACGTGTTTTATAATAGACTAGAGGCCCGGTACACAAAATTTGTGCACAGGTGTGGGGGTGTCCCTCAGCCCAGCTTGCACCCTTTCCAATCTGGGATCCCTCTCACAATCCAGGACTGCTGGCTCCCAACTGCTCGCCTGCCTGCCTTCTTGATTGCCTCTAACCGCTTCTTCCTGTCAGCCTGATCACCCACTAACCACTCCCATGCCAGCCTGATTGATGTCTAACTGCTCCCCTGCCAGCCTGTTTGCCCCCAGCTTCCCTCCTCTGTCGGTCTGGTCACTCCTAACTGCTGTCCTCCCCACCAGGGTAGATCTCCTCCAACTGCCCTCCCTTGCAGGCCTGGTGCCTCCCAACTGCCCTCCCCTGCTGGCCATCTTGTGGTGGCCATCTTGTGTCCACATGGGGGCAGATTCTTTGTCCACATGGGGCAGCCATCTTGTGTGTTGGAGTGATGGTCAGGCTGCATATTACTCTTTTATTAGATAGGATAGAGGCCTGGAGCATGGGTGGGGTCTGGCTGGTTTGCCCTGAAGGGTGTCCCGGACCAGGGTGGGGGTTCTCTTGGGACATGGGGTGACCTGAGCAAGGGGCCTGTGGGGGTTTGCAGGCTGGCCCCACCCCTGGTTACCCAAGCAGAGGCCCTGGTATCTGGAGTTTATTAACCTTCTACAATTGAAACTTTGTGGCCTGGAGCGAAATCAAGCCTCCTGCTCAGTTGGTGGCTGCAGTCATTTCTGTTTACCTTTTATAATTGAAACTTTGTATCCTTGAGTAGATGCCTGGGCGGCCCACCAGAGTGTGTGGAAAGCTTGGCTTTCTCTGTTGCTAGGGAAACCCAAGCCTCTTTTCTGGTAGCCATCTTGGTTGGGTTTATTTGCATACTTGCTCTGATTGGCTAGAGGGTGTGGCTTGTGGGTGTGGTTTGTGGTGTAGCAGAGTGATGGTTAATTTGCATATTACTCTTTTATTAGGTAGGATTCATTAAAATATATCTTTTATCCTATCTGAACTTCAAATGTGTGAAAATACTGAATATACTATCTTGAAATAGTCACTGTATTAATTTCTTCAGCACACCTTTTAACAAGCGCTGGGTACCACTGTGGTGTTATATGTTAAAAGCAGCAAAAGAGGAGAATTTTTTAAGAATAATACTTCTCCAAAACTCAGATAAAATAATCATGTTTTATAATTGACAAGAATTTCCAATGAACACACATGAGAGGGGTGAGGGCTTGTGTGGGGGACAAGGGGTGAGGGTGGCCAGGAGAGGTCAATGGGAGAAAAAGGAGGCATGTGTAATACTTTAAATAATAAAGAATTTTAAAAAGAAAGAATTGCCAATGTAATTAAACCTGTATTCTTGGTATACTAAAATCCCCCTGTTTGCATTAGGATATGCTCTGGACGGAAATGGTTAACACACACTTGAGTTTGGATTTTAGAATCCATTTGACAAAACAGCACAGTGATACAGCTCTTTGTGTCTTTTGTTTTTTAAAATGTCAGATTTCCTAAATGTGGCTCAACCAAGTTTTTAAAACCACAGCAGAGATAAGATTGATTTTCTGTAGATAATATGGAGGTATCTCCTCCAGGGACAATTCTGCACATGGGCTGGAGCTTTTAGTATTTGACATAAGGGTTAAATCAGGTTTTTTTTCCTAAGACTTTTATATAAAGTCTTACATTAAAAAGCCACAATTCACTTCAGAGCTGCTTAAGGAGGAAATTAAGAAGGGAATTGGTACTGGATGATCATACACATAAAGAGCAAATTAATCCGTAATACATACTAATGTTTTGAAGACAGCATTTTCCTGAAGTTAAATATTTGATTTTTGTCTTTACTCTTTTAGATCAGCAAATAAGAATTATAATGGCTTACAGATTTCAAAAGAGCCATTATAAAGCAATTTTTTTTTATATCTCTAAAGAAATTAGAAGCTGTGGTAAGAAATGAAACTTAATATATCTGATAATATCTTAGAACAGTAAGTGATTTTTGTCTCTAAATAATTTAAGTTATGCAACTGGAAAAAGTGATGTAGTAGTATGAAAATCATTTTGAAGTTGAACTTTGCAGAAGACAATGAAACATATGAATGCAATACTATTCTGTATGAGCCTCCAACTGTGTACTTTACTGAATAAGAACTCAATACATGGTAACAATTAGAAGCTGTACGTATAGCTTTTACTTTTTACACCATAGCAAGTATAATGTAAGAAAAAGCACAATGTACATCAGTAAGGGAAAAATTCTATGATATTATTAGTCAAATATAATCTGTCCCCTTATTATTTTTTTTAAATATATATTTTATTGATTTTTCACAGAGAGGAAGAGAGAGGGATAGAGAGTTAGAAACATCAATGAGAGAGAATCATCGATCAGCTGCCTCTTGCACACCCCCCACTGGGGATGTGCCCGCAACCAAGGTACATGCCCTTGCCCGGAATCGAACCCGGGACCTTTCAGTCAGCAGGCCGACGCTCTATCCACTGAGCCAAACCGGTCCCGGCTGTCCCCTTATTATTATTTGTACATATTTTGAGAGAGTTTTCAGTTCTTAGTTTGCAAAAGAATTAACCAATTATTTATTAAAAGGGGAGTTCTACTTTCTACATCAGGATCCTGCTAAAATAGTTTTGGTATAGTTCCCATGAATTTACATGTCCTCACCATAGTTTGGCAAAGGTAGACCATGAATTATACTGAGGAGCAGAGATATAAAGAACTATTTTACTCAGCAATTCAAAATTGTGAGGGTAAAGATACCAAACAGTTAGAGCCTGTGAATGTGTCTTGTTCAATTGCATGAGAAGTATGAATGTTATTAAAAACTAAATTTTATTTTAATTCTACAGCAGATAGAAAATTATGCCTAAATGAATCTTGAAAAACTTCCATATACTTTGTAAAGCTCTACAGCAGTACATAGAGCAATCTTTGACCCAAGTTAAGAGATATGCGACTATAGGCTAAAATAAATAAATAAATAAATAAATAAATAAAATAAAAAATAAAAAAATCTTGATGAATTGGCGATTAAATGAAAATTGCTATGAAATTTAAAATTCCATTTGGAACAAATGCAGATTTTTTTCACAAAAAGAAAAAGAAAAAAGAGAGAGAGATGGTATTTTCATGGGTCCATGTTAATGTTAAAGATTTATTTTCTTTTTTATAGTGAGAGTAAATTAGTCATCTTTAAGATCCCTCATATTTTTTTTATTTCAAATAGGTTTTTTTTCCAGTCTTCTTTAAAATCATTGTTTCACTGATTTAGAAAACATTGATCCAATTCTCCATATACAAAAACTAGAAATTGCCAGATTTAACCTTGTTGTGTTATATTGTAAATCAAAAGACGACTTAATCAATAAGCTGAATTTATTTGAATCCTTTTCATTTTGCTAGTGCTAGCAAGCTCAGAGAAAATCTTGCTTCTCAAAATCTGGGGCCCAATATGGTGGAAGTCTTTCTTATTTATATGTTTTTCAGCTCTTTGTATTCCAAATTTGGAACAAGAACTCCAGACCTTCTGAGAAAAAGTCCTGTGGGCTGGGACAGGGCTGTGAGACCATATCTCAAGGCCTGGCCTGGCGCCAGCACTGACAACTCTGTCTGGAGTGTAGTTTATGGCCTCTCTGGAATGGGAGTAGTCATACTTTTCCTTATTATTTAAGGAAACAAACATTTACAGAAGCCAGAATAGCAGGGTTAAAATTTTAAACAGTAGTTTTTACCTAAAATGTTAGTTACTGTGCTTCAGGTAAATGCAATGAAACAAATACATTATCATGTAATTAACCTGCACAATGCTGTTTTATTTACAGATTCAAGAATGGCTTTGTTTAAATTGCCAAACCCAGAGAGCGATGTCCGGGCAGCTTGGAGACATGGGCAAAATGCCTCCTGCACCGTCAGGGCCAAAAGCCCCTCCTATGCCTTTTCCTACAGAGCAGTCACCTCAGAAAACGGCCACGCCTGGTCAAGCGAAAGTTAAAAAGAAGGAACAAGAAGCAAAAACAGAAGGTGACAAAATCATACCAGAAAAAGTAAAAGAAACACCTTTATTTGAAAAAATGTCTCCCAAGGTAACCACAGATAAAAAACAAGAAGAACGTAAACAAGAAAAAGACCGAGATTTAGCCCCTCAAGAAAAAAAAACAATCCATGAAGAAAAACAGCCTCCTCCTGAAGAAAAAAAGGCGGTCCCTGGAGACAAAAAGCCACCTCCTGAAGAGAGAAAACCATCCACCGAAGGGAAAAAACCTCCTGAAGAAGAAAAAACAACCACTGAGGACAAAAAGCCAACCACTGAGGACAAAAAGCCAACCACTGAGGACAAAAAGCCAACCACTGAGGACAAAAAGTTTCCTCCAGGAGCAAAAACATCAGCTCTAGAGGAGGAACAGAAACAGACTTTGCTTAAAACTCAAGTACAAGTTGCTGAAGAAAAGCCTGAAGACAGAGTGGCTCCGCAGGCAGTGCCAGGAAAGCAGCCACCCCCCATGCAGATGGAGGGTTTACTGCCTGGGACCCTTCAGACATTGCCTGAGGGGGATGATGGGGCAGCTCAGGGAATAAAAGATCAGCCACAGGAAGTCCATGCAGCAAAGCCTGATCAGGTGGAACCTGGGAAAGAAAAAGCAGTAAGTTATGTTTTCTTAACTTTGCACAGTCTTATGTAGATTGTTTACTGATTTTTACGTAAGTATAATACATAGAGTGCTTCATGGTAATTATATAAGGAAAATCTTTTGATTTTTTTTTTTTTCTTCAGAAAAGTGTAACAGTTGATTGCTAAAATGAAGAACCTGGTGTGCTTTTTGACAGCTTAATCTAACTTAGAGCATAGACATAAAATTTATTTTTCTAGCTTTTATGTCTATTGATAATTTATCTACATCCTATAGAGTGATAAAAAAATGTTTTCTTACCACTTTGTTATTCCTTTTTCTCTCCACTATGAACATAAAATCAGTATCCTCCTTTAATATGAAATAATGTGTGGTTTTTAAGTTTCTATTCACTTATCCACTTGGTTAAATAAGAGTCAACAAGGTCTTTTTCTCATTTAAAAGCCTTTTAAGTTGTGTTCAACCATAAAATTATATAATTGTGATTGCAAAAAAAGTGGAAACATTTAAGACATGTCATTTTTTTAAAAGTTTGTATTAGTATTTAGTATGATTTTAATTAATGTATTCTGTTTGTAGTTTTATTCAATGTGTTTAATATTGAATGGTTTTTTATGCTTGGATACATCTCTCATATACATATGTATTTTTTTTCTTTATCTTTAATAGAAACTTTTAAAAGTGCCCCATCTTAACCAATATTTACAAAAGCAATAATATTAATTTTAGAAGAACTCTGATTTTTCAGATTATAGGAAATCTTACATTATATCCCGTTGAATACATTTATTTTATTTATTTATTTTATTATTTTATTTTATTTTTTCCCATCACCATTTATCTCCCATCTACCCTTCTCCATCTCCACTGACTCCTCTCTCACCCTCTGTAATCACCACTCTGTTGTTCCTATCCATGAGTTTTTTGTTTTGCTTTTTTCTCTTTACCCCCTTCTTTTTTGCTCAGTCCCTCCACCATTAGGATACTAGCAATGACTTGATTTATTAGTATTCAAAGTTAATATGATAAGTTTAATTAGAACCTGTAGTCCACCAAGACTCTGGTTCAGTTGTTTTGTTTTGTTGTTTAAATTTTTTAACACACAGTTACTAACCTACCTTTGGTATGTGATGTATGGTTCATTAAATAAATCTAAATATCCCTTCATTATATAAATGAGTTTATTAGGGTTAGAGAAATTAGATGCTTATTTATTTATTCCTTACTCTACTATCCGGATCCAGCCACCACCACCCATAGCTTCAGCTAACCACTTGCAGCGGAGATGCTTTTCACCATTTCTCCCTTTGTGAGACTCTCCTGTCTTTCATGGCTCTTTCCTTACTGTTCTCTTTGTCTTCCTGATCATCCCTTCTGAGCTCTTTATTGTGACTATTACTCTCTCTTTCCCAACCCGCATACCATGAGGTTTCTTGTTCTCCTTTGAGTTCTGTCTTTTCTCTTAGTGAAGTCACATGAACAGTTCTTAAAGCCACTTGTGTACTTTGCCCCTCTTTTAATTGTCAGACCTGCATTTTAAAATTCTCAATAGATTGCCCCACTTCAAAGCCTGATTGCAAGCCGGAAGTCTGTATAGAGGCAGTTTCTGCTTCTGACTTTTCTATTTCCGATAATGGCACCACCATTCACCCTGTCTCTAACTTCCCAGGATGAGTGATCTGAGATGTCTTACATGTTATTTGCTCTCCACATCCAGTTTATCACACTCCAGTTCATTAGCTCCTATTCCTAAGGACACTATCCTCTACATGGCCTTCATGACCTTTTATCAGTGATTTAAATAATCTGTTACTGGTCACTGTGCCTTCTATTTCTCCCTTCTCCAGTATATACTCATCAGGTAAGGATGATTTTCCAGGGTTTGGACAGTTTAACTCTATTGCTCACATACATCTACTGATTCTCTATTGCTTGTTAAATACATCTAAACAATCCTAATATTTTCTTAATGCACCTGCTTTTATATTATTTTGCACCTTTATCATTTTCTATAAATTTCTTTTATCCTGATTTTTTCTTTTATTTGATAACCTCAATATATACATGTGTGTATATATACTTATTTTATTTCTAAATTAAGTGTACATATTAAGTTACTAATATATTATTTACTATGCAAAATACTGACAAAAAGCAATAATCAGTGAAATAAACAAAATTATCATTTTATTATATGTATTTAAATTTAGATAGTTGACCACATTAAAATTTGAAAAAATTTGACTAAAGATAGTATTTTATAGAGAGCATTGATTGACTGTGCTTCAATATTTTAGAAAATCTGGTCTGAAATATTTTGATCAGAGTTATTTGAAATTGAACTTCTAAGTTAAACTTATTTTTATATTTTGACATTTAGTTTTTATGGCTATCATAACAAAAAAATAAAAAAAGATAACCCACAAGCATATACCAGAATTGGAAGAAGTGGATCAAAGATTGTACTTGCCAAATTTTACTGTTTTCTAAGTTTGAAATTGAAAACAAAATTTTTCTTTAATTATAAAAACTCCACAAATAAATGTTAATCTTCCTTGATACCAATTATCAGAAAATGAGCTGTTTTAAAATATTTTATTAACAAATGTCTTTGAAGCTCACCAGAGTTCTTTATCTGAAAGAATTAAATATTCTTTCAGATAAAAACAGAATAAAATATTCTCTGCAAAGTTTGTTAAATGAGCAGATCTAAAAGCTTTAACTACATATTATTTTAGCTATTTTTACAAGGCAGAAAAAATAACTTTCACCAAGTGACATGCCATTTCATATAGCATAATCACATAATTTCCAAATATCTGTCTTCAAAGGAGTGTTTTCACATCATAATTTTTTTTAAGAGACAACTATTATTTATTTTTTCCTAATTAAAGGAAGCATATTGCTGATAACCAGGGTTTACTTTCTTCCTAAATACCTAATAAATAGTATATTGCTGATAACTACTTGTCATCACCCAAAAGTTGGGCAAATTTTCAATTCTTCTACTTTTGTTAAAAAGGAATTAAATCTTCATCTTTACAACTTTTCAAATTAATTTCCTGTGAGGTAATCAGTAAACCCCTGTGGTTAAAATACATATTCTCTAAATGAGTATAAAATATTAAAGATATACTTCAAAATATAAAGGTCTCAGTAATATTATATACCACATGTACTACATCTGTAGAATTATAAAACACTCTATGCGTTTCTGGCTTACTTGTAAATGGTAGAAGTAAATGAATTTCATATGTACTGATATCTCTATAATCTTACCCTTTAAAAAAAATAACTCCAGTCAGAAAAGCTATTCTTCAGTAATTAATATGTAGGTTTTTAAATTTTTTTTAATGTTTTTATTGATTTTTAGAGAGAGGGGAAAGGAGAGGGAGAGAGATAGGAATATCGATGAGAGAGAAACATCAACATCAGCTGGCTAACTTCTGCACACCTCCTGCTGGGGACCAAGCCCTGATCTGGAATCTATCAGCCATCTCCTGAGGTCAATGCTTACCCACTGACCCACACCAGCCAGAGTAATATGTAGTTTTTTGTTTTGTTTTTATTTAAAAACTATTATACCTTTGTTATTCAAATCCCTCAATATGTAGGCTATCTTCATTGGTATATTATTTTTTTTGTGTGTTTCACAATAGTATTTTTTTTTTTAAATTATTGAAACAGAATTATTAAACATTATAAACTGAGCATGTTTCTGTTATTATTAGCCTTTGATACTTACTTTGCTCTAATAAGTTTTCCCCAAATCTTCCAGTTTTTTTTTGTTTTTTCTAATAATATTTGCTAATGAAGACATGCAGTTTTATTTGTCACCATATTAGTTTCTACATATTATTTTAGCTATTTTTACAAGGCAGAAAAAATAATTTTCACCAAATCACATATAACCTTTTATCTTACACTAGTAAGAAAATGCATATGAATATTATGTCTTTATTACTCAATTTATTAAAAATTTATAAAGTACTAGAACACTAGTAGTTATTTGCTGAAAATAATATGAGTTTCTGATCATGTCATATTACTTACTATAATTCAAAAACACATTGTGTGTGTAGGCAAATATGTTATTAGCAATAATAGATGTAAATACAGATATTGAATAGTTTTCCGGTACCATCAGATATTTTTGGCCATCTTGTGTCAAAATTGATTCAACGTTGAAAAGTTGCTTTGAAATATTATCTGCATAATATTCTCCAGGTCCATCCATGCTGTTGCAAAGGATAAGAAACACAAGGCTTTTTTTTTTTTTTTGATACTTTTAACATACCTCCTTTTCATTATTATAATTATTTGTATCTCGTGGCAGTTCCCACTATAATCCCAAACACTTTGTGTAATTTTTTTCTTTGTTAATATATTTATTTTATTTATTTATTAATTTGTCACTTGTTTAATTCATATTATTATAGTATAATATTTGTATTTCTTTGTTGCCTCATCATTTTCTTTCCATTCATTCCTGTCTTTCAAAATGTTTTGTCAAGTGGAATTAAAATTTATTCTGAAATGTAGTAAATAATTTGAAAGGTACATTTTTTTAAAAACTTATCTTTATTGTTGAGAATGGTGCATTCTTCTTTACTATTTTAGCTTAATATTTTAAAATTACATGTTACTACAGAATTACGTTACTACATTCTCTCTTTTTATTTACATGCTTAACCAGAATACTGCTTATCTGCTTTGATACGTTGAAACACTGTTGCTTTCCTGATAAAACCCAAAATTTGAACATTCTTTAGCATAAACTTTAATTTCTGGTTACAGTGACACAGGGGTTAGCATTCAAGTTCTATATAGGCAGCCGAGACGGGTTTGGCTCAATGGATAGAGTATCGGCTTGGGGACTGAAGGGTTCCCGGGTTCAATTCCGGTCAAGGGCATGTACCTTGGTTGCGGGCATATCCCCGGTAGGGGGTGTGCAAGAGGCAGCTAATCGATGACTCTATCTCATCGATGTTTCTAACTCTCTATCTCTCTCCTTTCCTCTCTGTACAAAATCAATAAAATATATATATATTTTTAAAAAGTTCTATATAGGCATTGTATATAATGGCAGCATAATCAAAGAAGATGAAAAATGAAAAGGTTTTCTGTATTGAAAAGCATTCCCATGTATGATTTTTCACTCTAGGCTCAGTGAATTTTGCAGACTTAATCTTTTATGGACTAAACACTCAGACTAGCAATCCATTTTGACCAAAACATTCTATAAATGATTAAAGATTTTCTTTTGTTATTTTACTTTGTTCCATTAAAATAAATGACTTCGGGGAAATTAACCAAAAACTTAATATTGCATCCTTTCTATGCACAATATTATATTTAACCAGAGATTCAGTTCTTAACACCAGTAATGCTCAGGTAACTTCCATTTACTTTTAACATGAAAGGCTAAAAGTTTCCTTTGGGCAAAGGGCAGAACTAAGTGTGGCAGTGCAGATGTGTCTTGGGATATTCTTCAGTTCTAGAGGTGACTCAAGATACAACACCATGGAAAGAGTGTCAAATGGGCCTCAATTTACTGCCTTTCAGCAGTAGAATATTGGAAGGAAAAAATGATTCTCTATTCTCTGCTTCATATTGGCAAGTAAAAAATATTAATTTTAACCTCTGAAAATTTTAAATTATCATTTCATATACACAGACTAGGAAGGCTGAAGTAGCCATATTACTATACATGGAGAAAGTAAATACATAATTCAAAATAAAAGTCAGTATAATATAGTCCAATGGAAAATGTACTTAGAAAAATACAGGGAAAATGTGTTCTTCAGGTGAGCTTAAAAATAACATTTCCATTAACAAAAAAGTAAGCTTAAAGTATGGCTGTTCCCACTCACTGACTCCATCTAATATGACAAACAAAATTCTCAAGCACAGGGTAGATACCTGGACTTTTATTCTTATGTAATAACTTCAGGTCATTCCAGATGTATTTTGTAAAAAATGAAATAGATAATTAATTTCAACTTGATTATTCAAACGAAGAAATAATAAATGTAAGGAAATTCAATGATATTTATACACATATGTATATGTGTTATATATGTATGTAACTTAGAACCCTTTGAATATATTCACTTCATTAAACCTTAAAATGTTAGTAAGTGGCTTAATATTTTTCTCAAAAGTAAGTTTGCAGCCACGCATTTTAAAAAATATATTTTTATTGATTTCAGAAAGGAAGGAAGAGGGAGAGAGAGAAACATCAATGATGAGAGAGGATCATTGATCAGCTGACTCCTGCATGCCCCACACTGGGGATCCAGCCTGCAACCCAGGCATGTGCCCCAATCAGGAATTAAACTGTGATGCCCTGGTTCATAGGCCGACGTTTGACCACCGAGCCTCTGGCCAGACACATTCATGCATTTTTTAAGCAATAAGATAAAATTCAATCTTCTAGTTCTAGAGACATTTGGGAGAAAATTATCCCAATAATTCCTTCCTCACATATATCCTTTGATTGTGTTTCTCAAGTTATAGTTCTTCAGACATCCATTTGAAGTCTGAATAATTAGAGAAAAATCAGACCCAAGTAACATGCTATGTTTTACATCCTTCTCAGTTCCATCTACTCTTTCATTTTTGATCAAATTATTACCTTGTTAGGAAACATAAATTGTGAAGCAAGGTTTTGCTAAGTTAAATCTGTATAGACTGGTTAGCCACATGGATACAAATTGTACTAGTCCTCACACCAGGTATCTCACGAAGGAGCGTGGATAGCCACAAGAAGGACAAAAGGGTGGACATTGTGCTGATCTTTGTATATGAAGAAAAACGTTTGTTTCAATTTTAGCAGCAGGATTAAAGATGAATGTATAGCTGCCTTAAAATCAAAGAGGCAAAGGGCCTTGTTTGTGTATGTTCTGATGATTAATAAGCTAACAACAAAATGAAGAAGCAGGCCACTCATCTGTGTCAGGAGTCATTACACCTATGCTACTTAGTATGATAAAAATTGACTTTATGATTTTTTTAAATGTATTAAGGCACAGTAAGTACATGGCCAAGTGTTCCTTCTGAACAGTTTAGCCAAATGTCTTCTGGTCACCTAACTTGATTTCCTTATTAATCATTCTAAACATTGTATCTAGACCCACAAACCTATAGAGCAAAATCTTCCCAGCTTTTGCCACCTTATAATATGGAGAAGAGAAGTCCTTAGAGGAAAGGAATCAGCATAGCATCATTATAGGTAAATTATGAATGAGTCCTGTGAGGGAAGAGACCATGGAGATGGAGGAAGCGGGTAAAGGGGTAGAACATATTTACTAAAAAGAAAGGATGAACACAAGGTGAAAGGCTACATAAAGTGTATTGTAGGGTAGGTATTTTGTTATTTATGTGCGTTAGTCTTTTGTTTAACGTATCTTCATTTCTTTTGACACATTATATATGTCTGGTCATAATCTTATTTTTGTGAAATGTCACTAAAATCTTCAGAACCTATTGTATGAAATTATAATTTATATTTTATTATACTCAATGAATTGTTACATACAACAATAGTAACATTTCTTATATATGTATAGCTTCCTTACATTGTTATGTTTTATGATATATGCAGACACAAAATAAAGAATATAAGTGATACCATCAACTTTAATTATGAAAAATCATTTTCTTGCCCTTTTATTCAAAAGGAGCTTAGATTCTCCACTCATGTGTTTATGGTGTTTATAGGGGTTTAGTGGAACTTGGCAAAGAAGACAAGGAACGACATAGAAAGTATATTGGACTCAAAAAAATGTGGTCTGTCTTTCTGTGGAATGCAAGGAGATGGAAATATACTTCCACTGTGACCATCCAGAAACTTTTATAGAAGACTGTTTTGTCTTACTTACCTCTTTTATGCATAGCTCTGAAGAGAAAGGAACCACAGTTGGCTGGGGGCTCCTTAGCCCTACTACTGTAGGTAGTCTCATAACTGCAGATAAGTAACCCTTTTATGCACAGACAACTGAAATGGTCCAGAGAAATGAATTATTGGTCAACCAAAGAGTTGGCATTGCTTTTTGAACTAATGGTGTGAAAAATATGTCAGACTATCTTTTTTAATTGAGTCACATTGTAAATTCAGCAAAAGCATTTTACTCTCTGATGTGTTCAAGATACATATCTGACCATATAGAAAAAAGACAGGTAGTGAGATAAAAATGAATGTAAAATTAATATCAAGCCAACAACTTTTATATTTGAGAACTTTATAGGTAAAGGGAGGATGAGGAGAAGCAATTGAAGAAGGAGGAGGAGGAAAAGAAGGAAGGAAGGAAGGAAGGAAGGAAGGAAGGAAGGAAGGAAGGAAGGAAGGAAGGAAGGAAGGAAGGAAGGAAAATGTTTTTGATGTTTGTTGTTTGTTACCCGACCTGACATCTGTTCATTTTGGCTGTAGACAGGTTAGAGGGACCCATGCCTATACACACACTAAAAATATTGGGATGGTTAGTTCAAGATATAGACTTGGCGGAATCCAAGGTGATTCCATAGGCCAGCGTCAAATAGAGCATGTCCTCATGCAGCTCTTCACCTTCCCTCTTTCTTTCCTAGGGCTGTGGGTGTGTTTTTTAATTTATTTAATTTCTTTATGTTCTCCTTTGAACATGAAAACTAACTGGATCAGCTGCATTTCATTTTGATCATAGTTTTTTTGTGTTGTTTTTTTGTTTTTGTTTTTGTTTTTCATTTAGACTTATGCACAAAGTCTTTATATTTAACTTTTTTTTTTAGGCCTCTGATTCTTGAATTAAATTGTTATTATTGTCTTATCAAATGAGATAAGTAGTTTAAGCCTATGATTTGTCTACTGTGTCCGAGCTCCCTGGAAAGCCCATGTGTCCATTCATAAAGTTAGTTTTTGTGCTGGTTGAAGGAAGCTGACTTTGAAATACCATAAAGGTAAAAATGCAAGTATTTTCAAAGTCAGAAGATATTTGTTAAATATCTTTGAGGTGGGATACTGAGGATAAATGTGATTCACAACTTTACAAAAATAACAGTTATTTCTCTTTTACTGAAGCTATGAACCAGACCAATTACATTTGCAAAGTTTACAATTTCTGAACAGTCACATATTATATAGCATTGTAATATTAAGTGTGATATCAAGTAAATATAATGTTTTACGTTTTTTAAAAAACACAGCCTTGTTTGAATATCTCTCAGGAAAAAAAAAATATTTGTGGTTGGTGGGGCAAATATCATTATGGCACTAAATGATATATGCTTACTTTTGTTAAGTCAATTTCCCAACATCCCATAAGTCTTATAGCCAAGTAAAGGCCCTCCTCTGATCTTCCTTTCTTTGCCTGTCCTCGTAACCCAAAAGTATTAGTTATATCAGTGGAAACATTTCATTACAATTTTTCTTTAGTAATTTGAATTATATCCCAAAGTAAATATGCTAGGAAAGAAAATTACATTTTTTGAAGAAAAATGGTATTGAAATGTAGAAGGATAGAGCACTAATGGACTAAAAATATTTCATATTGACATTTAATAAAATGAAAACTAACCGTGATCAATATGTATTAACTATTTTTTCCCCATGCAAAGATTTATTTAAAACAATATTGCCTTACAGTTGAAAAAGTTTCATGTACTTTTTTCTCTGTTCATAATAGTTATTTGGGAGTAATGGAGAGGCCATTTTATTAATCACGTTAAGTTTTCCTATATCTTTTCCTCCCTGCTAGGAAAAGGAAGATGACAAATCAGACACCTCAAGTACTCAACAGCCAAAAAGTCCACAAGGTCTAAGTGACACAGGATATTCTTCCGATGGCATATCAGGTTCACTTGGTGAAATCCCAAGTCTTATTCCAAGTGATGAGAAGGATTTGCTCAGGGGACTCAAAAAGGACTCATTTTCACAAGAAAGCAGCCCCTCCAGCCCCTCAGACTTGGCCAAGTTAGAAAGCACAGTCCTCTCCATTTTGGAAGCCCAGGCAAGTACGCTCATTGAAGAAAAGTCAGAAAAGAAAACACCACCCCAAGAGGTTTCTCCTGAGAAGCCTAAGGAGGAGCCGAAAACTCAGAGTTTAACTCAAACAATGGAAACTACAGTTTCAGAAGAGAAGCTCAAAGAGAGCCAAGAAGCAAAGGACACTTTTACAAAAGATGGCCAACAAGGTGCTCCTCCCAGAAAGGACCACAAAGAAAAGGCTGAGTTTGCTGATGACATAGCTGCCAGAAGACAGCCTTACGATTCCGTGGAAGACAGCAGTGAAAGTGAGCACTCACCTGTCCCACCGAGAAAGCGGAGAACTAGTGTGGGCTCATCAAGCAGCGATGAGTATAAACAGGAAGATAGCCAAGGATCCGGTGAAGAGGAGGACTTTATTCGAAAGCAAATCAGAGAAATGAGTGCCGATGAGGACGCTTCAGGTTCTGAGGACGATGAGTTCATCAGGAACCAGCTCAAACAGATCAGTGGTATTATCGAGAGCCAGAAGAAAGAAGACACGAAAGGAAAAGGGAAAGTCACTGCAGGGAAACACAAGCGACTGACTCGAAAAAGTAGCACAAGCTTTGAGGAAGACGCAGGGAGGCGCCATTCGTGGCATGATGAAGATGATGAGACGTTTGACGAAAGTCCTGAAATTAAATACAGAGAGACTAAAAGTCAGGAGAGTGAAGAACTTGTAGTTGCTGGAGGAGGAGGAGGGCTCCGTCGATTTAAAACAATTGAACTCAACAGCACGCTAGCAGACAAGTATTCTGCAGAGTCATCACAGAAAAAAACAGCTCTGTATTTTGATGAAGAGCCAGAATTAGAAATGGAAAGCCTGACAGACTCTCCAGAAGACAGGTCGAGGGGGGAAGGATCCTCTAGTCTTCATGCTTCCAGCTTCACTCCTGGCACATCCCCTACATCGGTGTCATCGCTTGATGAGGACAGTGACAGTAGCCCAAGTCACAAAAAAGGGGAGAGCAAGCAGCAACGCAAAGCTAGGCACAGGTCGCATGGCCCTCTTTTACCCACTATTGAAGATTCTTCAGAGGAAGAAGAATTGAGAGAGGAAGAAGAATTACTGAAGGAGCAAGAAAAGCAGCGGGAATTAGAACAGCAACAAAGAAAAAGCTCTAGTAAAAAATCAAAGAAAGACAAAGATGAGCTTCGAGCTCAGAGAAGGAGGGAAAGACCAAAGACCCCCCCCAGTAACCTCTCTCCCATTGAAGATGCATCTCCCACAGAAGAACTGCGTCAGGCTGCGGAAATGGAGGAGCTCCATCGCTCTTCTTGTTCCGAATACTCACCTAGCATAGAGTCGGATCCAGAGGGTTTTGAAATAAGCCCAGAAAAAATAATTGAAGTGCAGAAAGTTTACAAATTGCCCACAGCTGTGTCTTTATACTCACCAACAGATGAGCATGCCGTTATGCAGAAAGAAGGTGGCCAAAAGGCATTAAAAAGCGCTGAGGAGATGTATGAAGAAATGATGCATAAAACTCACAAATACAAAGCTTTTCCAGCTGCAGATGAGCGAGAAGAAATGTTTGAAAAGGAGCCCTTGTATGGTGGGATGCTAATAGAGGATTACATTTATGAGTCTTTAGTAGAGGACACATACAATGGTTCAGTCGATGATGGTCTGCTAACAAGGCAAGAAGGTGAAAATGGATTTATGCAGCAGAGAGGGCGAGAGCAAAAAATAAGACTTCCAGAACAGATTTATGAGGATCCTATGCAGAAAATTACAGACCTCCAGAAAGAGTTTTATGAGTTAGAAAGCTTACATTCTGTTGTGCCTCAAGAAGATGTTGTTTCAAGTTCTTATATCATCCCAGAAAGCCATGAGATAGTAGATCTGGATAGCATGGTAGCTTCTACCAGTGAAGAAAAAAAGTTACTGGATGCTGATGCTGCCTATGAAGAACTCATGAAGAGGCAGCAGATGCAGTTAACACCTGAATCCAGTCCAACTCAACCCCCCATCAGGGAAGACATGGCAGAGGCCCCGATGGACTTTGACAGGTTGCCCGATGAATCTTTGACATCAAGTATTCTTTCAGGAGCATCTCTTACAGATTCGACCAGCAGTGCGACACTCTCAATTCCTGATGTTAAAATAACCCAACATTTTTCAACCGAGGAAATTGAAGATGAATATGTAACCGATTACACGAGAGAAATTCAAGAGATAATTGCCCATGAATCACTGATTTTGACCTACTCTGAGGCTTCAGAAAGTGCTACGTCTGTCCCACCCTCTGACACACCTTCCCTCACATCATCTGTTTCTTCAGTTTGTACCACAGATAGCTCCTCACCCAGTACTACCCTGGATAGCATAACTACAGTTTATTCAGAGCCAGTAGATATAGTGACTAAACTAGGAGATCCTGGGGATATTTCTTCTTCAACATATTTTCAAGGTAGCATCATAGACTATCCAGAAGAAATAAATATGTCTTTAGATCAGACTACCATACCAGATGGTAGAACTAGTACTGATCATCTTTCAATTTCTTTATCTGATATGACACCTTCTATCTTAGAACCTAAAGAAACTAAACCCAAGGGGCTAATTGCTGACACTATTTCCACTGACTTATCTATATCTGAAAAGGACTCAGTGAAGAAAGCCAAGAAGGAAACTGGGAATGGAATTATTCTAGAAGTTTTGGAAGCATACAGAGATAAAAGGAAGGATTCTGAGGCTGAACTAGCTAAAACTAGCTTATCTGAAACCATGTTTGATCAACCGCCTTCTGGAATAGCCTTTCCAATGAAGGAGCAAGTTTCAGCTGCATGCTTTGTATCTGGAGAGAACTTTGGTCAAGCAAAACCTGCATCTCAGTTACCATCTGGCGGTCCTTCAGTTTCCTCTCTTCCAACTAAAACACACCCATTCCTACGAAGCTCTTCTTTGGATACATCAGCTCAACCTCCTCCCCCTCCTCCCCCTCCCCCTCCTCCTCCTCCCCCTCCCCCTCCCCCTCCTCCTCCACCACTTCCTCCACCAACCTCACCTAAACCTGCTATTCATCCTAAGAAAAAATTAACAGTTACAGCTCCAGTGACTCTAACTATGACAGCTGCATCTCTAGTCGACACTGTTACTACTATAGAGACCACAGCTGTTCCAAGGAGTAATGGATTACCTATAACAAAAATATGTACCACTGCACCTCCTCCAGTTCCTCCTAAGCCATCTTCCATTCCATCTAGACTTGTATTTACCCACAGACCTGAGCCAAGCAAACCTCCCATTGCCCCTAAACCCCCCATTACTCAGCACTCAGGGCCTACACCAAAACCAACAGATTCCCACCCCAAACCAACAGGTTTGCCTTCAAATATGACATTAAATTTAGTCACTTCAGCAGATTATAAATTGCCTTCCCCTACCTCCCCACTCTCCCCTCATTCTAATAAGTCCTCACCAAGGTTGTCCAAATCCCTCATGGAAACATATGTGGTTATCACGCTGCCATCTGAACCTGGGACTCCAACAGATTCTTCTGGTCAGGCAATTACCAGTTGGCCCCTAGGATCGCCTCTCAAAGATATGATCGCCACCGAACCTGTATTTTCTGTAGTTCCTCCTATCACAGCTCCAGAAATGTCATATTCATCACAACAGAGCCTGCGCATCTCAGGAGCTTTGGATACGTTTCCTGCCATCCCTGTCGCAACACTATCTTCCTGTCAAGCAGCCCCGATTTCCATTACACCTTTTCTTACAACTGAAGTTTCTAAGGCAGAGATTCCAGCAGCCAGAAGTACAGTCCCTAGTGTCGGTCTCAGCAGCGTCTCTGTAACAATTCCCCCAGAGCCTCTTGCTTTAGATACCCTGCATTTAGAAAAGCGTCAGCGTAAAGAAAACGGAAGGTTGCAGCTTATCGGGGATGCCATGGATTTGCGTACAGCACCAAAAGTAGAAGTTAAAGCGACTGAGAAATGTATGGATCTTTCTGCTTCTGCAATGGATGTGAAAAGACAGACCTCGGGAAAAGAAGCTTATGGGAGACAAATCAGTGCCGTCCAACCCTCTATTATAAATCTCAGTGCAACTCCATCAGTCGTGACTCCAATATCCCTGGTCCCTGAGACAGTGACTGCTGTCACGTGCACAGCTAGTGCAAGCTATACTGCAGGCCCGGAGAGCCTAGTGAGTGTAGAACATGGAACAGCAACACCACTCCAGCTTACTACAGCAAAGCACACTGAACACCCTCACAGGATACCAAGTGGCCAGTCCTTCCCTACAGTTAAGCAGGAAGCACCAATGAACTTATCTTTAAGCACTTCAGCACAGGCAATGACACTGGCGACTGCAAAGCCAATTACCGTGCCTCCTGTTGGTATCACAAATGGATGGACTGATAGCACCACATCCCAGGGCCTCACTGATGGAGAGGCAGTGGATCTCAGTACAACAAAGTCTCACAGGACTCTTGTCACAATGGATGAATCTACTTCAAGTGTGGTGACGAAAATAATAGAGGACGATGAGAAGCCTGTTGATCTGACTGCTGGGAGAAGAGCTGTATGTTGCGATGTAGTTTACAAATTACCTTTCGGGAGGAGCTGCACAGCACAGCAGCCTGCAACGACTCTTCCTGAGGATCGGTTTGGTTACAGGGATGACCACTATCAGTATGACCGATCGGGGCCATACGGTTACAGAGGGGTTGGGGGAATGAAGCCTTCCATGTCTGACACTAATTTAGCAGAAGCTGGACATTTTTTCTATAAAAGTAAGAATGCTTTTGGTTATTCAGGAGAAACTGATGCAGCAGTAGATCTAACTTCAGGGAGAAGTTCTACAGGTCAGTATGATGTCGCTGCAGACCTTTCCTTGAAATATCATTATGGTGTTCCTCATCTCATTTCAGGATGAAAATGTGGCCCCTTTCCCCGCATTTTGTTACTTTTTCTTTAAATATTTTGGCAGCATTTTTTGGAGTTCATGTGCGCTTTTATTTCTTCATTTTTTAAAATTTTATTCTGCCCAAAGTCACCTGCATGTGCCTGCATGTTCAACATTGCTTTTCTTCGGCATCTAATTAGGTTTACCAGTGAATTTGCATGTGGTTCCATTCATTATGTTCATCAAGATTTTCAGAGCTCTTTCAAATTCCCAAAGCATCATTCATTTTTGGAACTGGACTATAATTCTGCCCTGTATTTCAGGTGAGGTAATGGATTATTCAAGCAAGACTGCAGGTGCATATCCAGAAACACGACAAGTCATTTCAGGAATTGGGATTAGTACCCCACAGTATTCCACAGCCAGAATGACGCCACCTCCAGGATCCCAGTATGGTGTGGGGAGTGTTTTGAGGTCAACTAATGATGTTGTCTATTCTTCAGAGGCAACTCCAGTTCCCTCCACATTTGCTATCACCACACAACCTGGCTCCATTTTCAGCACTACCGTGAGGGATCTGGCTGGTGCGCACACAACTGATGCAGTGACTTCATTCTCCACCCTGCACCAGAGCCAGCCGATGCCTAGATCCTATTTTCTAACAACAGGGGCATCTGAAACAGACATTGTAGTAACTGGTATTGATATCAACGCCGGTCTACAAACTATTACTATGGAAACTCTCACCACTGAGACAGTAGACTCAGTTCCCACGTTAACCACAGCATCTGAAGTGTTTTCCGAAGTGGTGGGAGAGGAAAGTGCTCTTTTAATGGTCCCTGAAGAAGATAAACAACAGCAGCAGCTGGACTTAGAGCGTGAGCTCCTGGAGCTGGAGAAAATCAAGCAACAGCGTTTTGCTGAAGAGTTGGAGTGGGAGCGTCAGGAAATTCAAAGGTACCGAGAACAGGAAAAGATGATGGTTCAAAAAAAGCTAGAGGAGCTGCAGTCTATGAAGCACCACCTTCTCTATCAGCAGGAAGAGGAACGTCAAGCCCAGTTCATGATGAGGCAGGAGACATTAGCTCAGCAGCAGTTACAGCTGGAGCAGATCCAACAGCTGCAGCAAAAGCTTCACCAGCAGCTGGAGGAGCAGAAGATCCGCCAGATCTATCAGTACAACTATGATCCCTCTGGAACCGCTTCTCCACAAACCACGTCAGAGCAGGCGATGCTGGAAGGGCAGTATGCTGCCCCAGAAGGTGGTCAGTTTTGGGCAGCTGAGGATGCAACCACCACAGCCTCAGCCGTTGTGGCGATTGAAATACCACAAAGCCAAGGATGGTACACAGTTCAGTCCGATGGCGTTACTCAGTACATTGCCCCACCCGGCATCCTGAGTACAGTTTCAGAAATACCTCTAACAGACGTTGTTGTAAAAGATGAAAAACAACCCAAAAAGAGAAGTTCTGGAGCTAAAGTCCGTGGACAGTATGACGAGGCGGGGGAAACTATGGCAGAGGACCCCCGCTGTTTTAAAAAAATAGTAGACAGTGGTGTGCAAACCGATGATGAAGATGCAGCAGATCGGGGTTATACGAGTAGGAGAAGGAAAACTAAAAGGAGTGTTGATACAAGTGTCCAAACGGATGATGAAGATCAGGATGAATGGGACATGCCTGCTAGATCAAGGAGAAAAACTCGTGTAGCAAAGTATGGCGATAGCACTACGGAGGCTGAGAAGACCAAAGCCCTTTCCAAAGTCTCCAGCATAGGAGTCCAGACAGTGGCAGAGATATCTGTGCAAACTGAACCAGTTGGAACCATAAGGACACCTTCGATACGGGCGCACGCGGATGCCAAGGTAGAAATAATTAAACACATTTCAGCACCCGAAAAGACTTACAAAGGGGGCAGTTTAGGATGTCAAACAGAAGCAGATTCAGAAACACAGAGTCCTCAATACTTGAGTGCCACATCTCCACCCAAAGACAAGAAACGCCCAACACCTTTAGAGATTGGTTATTCATCTCACCTTCGGCCAGATTCCACACAACAGCTGGCTCCTTCCCCACCCAAATCTCCAAAAGTCCTTTATTCACCCATCTCACCACTTTCACCAGGCAAAGCCTTAGAATCAGCCTTTGTACCTTATGAAAAACCCCTCCCTGATGACATAAGTCCACAGAAAGTACTGCATCCAGACATGGCTAAAGTTCCCCCAGCGAGTCCTAAGACAGCCAAGATGATGCAGCGGTCCATGTCTGACCCCAAGCCTCTGAGTCCAACAGCAGACGAAAGTTCCAGGGCTCCTTTTCAGTATACCGAGGGCTACACGGTAAGAGTGATTCTTTTCAGTTAGAAGACAATGGATGAGTTGATGCTAACCATGTGTTTGCAGACTTTAGGAAGCCATAAGGCTCCTGGTACTTTGGGAACCTAATACAAAACTTCAGTGAGTATCATTTCATTAGTGATTTGAGGGGGAAAAAATAGAAATGAATACATTCCCACAAAAAGAGAATTTACTATTTCGTGAGGCAAGGTGAGAAGTTCATTATTTTATGACAATGAGACTGAAAGTTTTGTTCTCATCTTGAAATCTCCCAAGCATTCATCATAGACTGATTTCAATGAATATAATTAATGTTCACATTCAGTGATGGTTTCAACATAGGGCATAAATGGATAAGACAAAGGATGGCCATAAATTTAGATCCATGGATATTGGAATTTTTAGTGGGAGGGTCTTTGGAAAGCATCTAGCTCGTTTCTTCCTCCTCAGGCCAGAATGTTTTCATAAAAGCAACCCAAAGAGAGACATTCTGGAGCTAAAGTCCATGGACAGTACGATGAGATAGCGGGAAATATGGCAGAGGATCCCCACTGTTTTAAAAATATAGTAGACAGTGGTGTGCAAACGGATGATGGAGATTCCGCAGATTGTAGTTAAGCAAGTAGGAGAAGGAAAACTGAAAAGAGTGTTGATGCAAGTGTCCAAAATGATGACTAGGACATTTACTACTTAAAAGAGAACATTTCTAGTCAGGCTGGTGAAAGTGTAATGTAATGTTCATAGTTCATCCATACTTTGTTTCTGCAACCATCCTATATAATAAAAGGCTAATATGCAAATCGACCAAATGGGTGGAATGACTGGTCACTATGATGTGCACTGACCACCAGGGAGGGCAGATGCTCAACACAGGAGCTGTGCCCTGGTGGTCAGTGTGCTCCCAGAGGGGGAGAGCCACTTAGCCAGAAGCTGGGCTCATGGCTGGCAAGCGCAGAGGTGGTAGCGAGAGCCTCTCCTACCTCTGTGGCAGCACTAAGGATGTCCGACTGCCAGCTTAGGCCCGGGACTGTGTCAGGGCGCAGGCTGAGCTGAGGGAACGCCCCCAAGTGCACAAATTTTGTGCATCAGGCCTCTAGTTTTAATATAATCTCAGGGAAGACTTAGTCCTGATGCTTATAAAAGCAAAAAGAAGTATATATTCTTTAATAACATATATTAATAATTACTAATTATTTAGAAATATATAGATATGTGTCAAAGGGAAAATAACATATTGATAGTTGGGATGCATTTGTGAATATCTCAATTGCTAATAATAAGAAATATTAATAATCAGCAATAAAAGCAGATATATTCTACTTAAAATCTAATATATACTCTAATATATAATTCTTTAGAAGGTTATTGATAAATATGATAATTCAATTTAAAAGTTGCCCTTAGTGCACTGGTCTTATTGATAATCTAAACTTTTATCTCCTTTGCTTAAAATGTCACTTTATTTTTATGGAGATATCTGAAATACTGAACACCAGTTGAACTAAATTTAGCTACTAAGACAGCCCAGCCATCTTATCAGTGAGGAACTAAGCCCAGAATAGTCTATTTACTTTATCATAGACCCTTAAGTGAAAACCTGGCCAGAATTAGAATATTAGACTCTGTATTTTACAGTCTTATTCTTTATTTGTCTCTTCTGATACTTACTGAACATTTTTAATTTTTTTTTTTTACTAATTCAATACCATGCTTGATGTCTATCTTTTTATCTTGTCATTTCCTCTGCTCTTTCTAAAATTCCAGTTTAAATCCTCTTAATTTGGTTTATTCACTTTAACATTTATTCTTGTTTGCATTAACTCATTAGCTCATTCATTCATTGCTCTTTTCCAGTCACTTTGGAAAACTAAAAATAAAGGATGAACCAGAGAGCCAGTGGTCATGCCTAATCTCCTACCGCTGAGATAATTTTGTTCTTCTTGCCTATGTAATGTATTAGAGTGCCAAGACTCTAATAATAGAGTATCATGGGCTGGTGACTTGAACAAACAGAAGTTTGTCACAGTTTTAGAGTCTAAATGTCCAAAATCAAGATGGGTTGATTGATTCTGGGAGCTGTTACAGGGCTCTTTCCTAGCTTCTGCTAGCTTCTAGCATTCTTGGTCTTGTAGGTGATGGTCTCCCTGGATCTCTTCACATTGTATTCCCTCTCTGTGTTAACTTTCCCCTCTTTATAAGGACAGCAGTCCTATTGATTAGGTCCCACACAAATGACCTTGGTTTAAACTGATTACCTTTGCAAATGCGCTGTTTCTAAATAGTTTCACATCCTGAGGTATTAGGGACTAAGACTACAACATATATTTTTGGGGTGGGAGGGAAACACAATTCAAGCCATAACACACATGAAAGCACTATGTTGCATTTTTTTTCTTTGTTCACAAGCAAATGTTGACTGTTTTTCAAGGTTTGTTTTTTCTCCTCTTTGCCTACACTTATTTCTTCTTAGTGATGAGATCACAAGCTTTTTTTTGGAAAGCTTTATTATTTTCTCACTGTGGGTAAAATCCCCCTTCCTGGGGTTTCAAAACATTTGTGTAAATGGAGCAACCTGGGTCATCAGAGGTTTAAATTGTAAACCATTCCCATTCAACTCTGTGGCATAAGAAACTTAAACCCTAATATGGTTTTATAATGATAGGCTTTGGTTTCATCTTTGACACAGAAGTTCCAAGGCAGGAGGAGCATATATTGTCTAGTTGGTGTTTCACTGGCATTTGAGCTCTGGCTAACCCTAAGATATCATATACATTTGATTGATTAAAATTAGCAATAATTAACATAAAATTATAAAGTATTAGACCCAATGGACATCACTAGAGTGGAGTGTTACCTCAAATCATTTTATTAAATTATGTAATATTCCTCAATGTCTATAAGAGGTGAGTGTTATCCCTTTTCTAGACCCCTTCAGCCTGTTATTAAAGTTACAGCCCCATAGCCAAATTCTATGTTTTTACAATATTTATGTAACCAAACAGGTCTTGTAACCTACTTCCTTTTACATATACAAATTTTTAACCCTGAGTAAAGATGGAAAGAATTACCACCTTTTTGCTTAAATCGTGTAGTTTGCTTTCTGAGAAAATTCCCAACAGGTACAGCTAAACCAAAGTCGGAATTTATTCTTTCCCATAGTAAAGCTTGCTACTTAGCTATGACTTGATAGTAATGTGTTTCGATTATGATTTAGAAAAATCACAGGAAGCAGTGTGGTTTCAATTGAAAGGTAGTATGTAGACTTTTGTCAGTAGAAATATTTTTAAAATAAAATGTTTTGTGAAAGCGAAAGAGTTAAAAAGGGGTGGAAACTGGTGTAGAGTAATCAAATACCTATCTATAATGATTAAATGAAGTGACATTTATAACCCTCCATCTACTAAGTCTGGCAATTGTACCCAATAAATTTGGTTCCCTTTCCTCGGATTGGCAAGGGGCTATATTTGTATGCCCTCGATAGAAATTTGTCAACTATCATTGAAGAGCTTTACTGTGTGAGTTGGTAGAAATAATTCTCAAATCTCCTACTAACCGTGTGCTTTTCATATTCGGTGGTGTATATAATGCTGCTTCTCCAGAAATTTCAGATTTCTATTCTCTATAACCATTTTTAATTTACTCTTTTGCATCACGAGGCTTTCCTTAACTCTCCAATTGAAAACCACCAACCTTTTTAATATTCTGTCCTTATATAATTCTTGATTTGTCTCTATTATCACTTATCATCATCAAAAAATATTTGTTCCTTTACAAATTTATTTATTGTCTTTCTTTGCCCACCAGGATTTATAGGTGAGGGTTTTTATTTTTTATGTTCTCAGCTATATCCCCTGTGCCTAGAAAGATGCTTGATTCATGCCTAGGGTCTCCATAACAATAAATTAATATGATGAATTAGTGAGTGAATGGACCTCTTTACCCATCAAACTGCTTCTCACCCCCACACATAACAAAAAATAAAAGCAAAAAATAAAGTCCTATTTATCAGCCCACTGCACTTTTTGTGTAGTTCTGTTAAAATTGTTTCCCTTTGCTTTCTGCTCTGTGTTTTTCTTCCATTTGCCGAATGAGTGACGCTACATTTTCTCAAATTTATTTCAATCCAGTATTGATGTATCTGTGGATTATCTCTAGCATCACATCTATGGAATTTTTATAAACTAGAGTTCAAAATGTGTTTCTTATGCCCTTTCTCTTTCTTCTATACAATGAAACTGATTATATCATTAACCTCAGAAGATCAGTGACTCGAAGAAGAAAGGTTAATAATATAGCACATTCTTTACAAAATCAGAGAAAGTGTTGTTACCCATTGGGAGAAATAGCAGTGTGAATTTAGATAATTTGAAGCTTGAAGGAATCTAATTCATTCCAAGATTTCTCTATCTTAAAGAAATATATGTAATTTAAGGTGATTTCTCTATTTTAAAAAGGATATATTTCATAATAGCACATATTTTGTTTATGACACACACCACTTCTTTAATACTAAAATGAGCTACCTTTCAAATGTTATCACCTCTACAAGGTCTTAAAAATACATAGACTATTAAGTGTTAAGCTGATTTGTCCTACCCTAGAGCTTTTTAAATAATAGGCAAACTCCTTATTAAAAAAAACATTCTGGTTTAAACCAGAATTCTATTACTAAGCAGATAGAATTCATGAGGTGATTTTTAGAAGTTTTGCTTCACTGATTGCTGTTTTGATAGCTATTTTTAATATTTTTGGAACCATTTAATGTCTATTTCTAAGAGTAATTTCCATAATCTAAATTGAGAAGTTTTATTTCTGTCAGAATGTACAGTTTAAGAATAATTACTATGATGGCCAACTGTGATTTGAAGAAAAGTGTTTATTAAGTGTTGTTTTTCATTACTGTCTTTGAAAATCAATGTAAGAAATCATTCTGTTGAAACTGATTTTGCTGAAAACACCTGTTTTATAATGGTGGCATTTACATATGTCAGAAAGACTATATA